TGAAAAGTTTCTAGCCTTTCTGTCAAACAAAAAGGACAATCGGTAGGTGAAAATTAACTTCCAATCCATAATACCGGAGATCTGAAGTTGGGTGCACCTGTAACGCACAATTATAGCGCTCTACCCAAGTAAACATTTCTCTGACAGCTTCTGCTAGAGCTTAAAGAGTGGAGAAGCAATCTAGGTCACAAAATCATATGCAAGTGTTGAGACTAAATTACCTAGCTGTATAACACTACCACCACCACGCCATCTTCTCTCTCAAGAGAAAGTGTTTTACAGTAAGTAAAGCAGTGAATCCCTCTTTTTAAATACATCCCTTAACCTTCTTTAAATTTATTACATTTTAATTAAAGTCATAGAACTTTGTTTAGATAAGTTGAAAACCTCAGGTTGGCAGCCAGAATATCTTATTTATAAGAACTCAGAGGTCTTGGATTCCCATATTTAGATTACGTTGCTTTAATTTATTTATTTTTTCAATTAAAAAGTTCTCACTGCTCATACATTTTTTATTCCCTAATGCTCTGTTCTATCAGGAGAAACATAAAAGAAGCAGACAACATGTTTTTTCAGTTGGAGACTACTTCCTAGCCTGCTCCAGTTTTATAATCTATTCTCTTACGGTCTTACCAACCCCCTCCATCAAACAGCTAAGAGTATCCATCAAAACCACAGGCTGTGTTCATAGTAAAAGGCACTCCAGCACATATTTTCACTGGAAAGCATTAATTTTTGCAGCAAAGTGCCTTTCTCCCTTCTACACCCACAGAGAGAGTTCAAGTACAGGAATACTGATACTGTCTGAACAGGTGAGTACCTTTGTAGCAATATGGTTCATGAGAAATAAAACAATAAAAAACATACAGCAAGTAGCCTTCCAAGCTTAGCTCCCCAGATTAATTATAGACACTGAGAACAATTTGGAATTTGTATTTCTTAAATTGTCAGTAAATACATTTTGATACTGTACCTACCACTTCTTAAATTGTAGGCTCCGTGCTACTCCCTCACTCTTGTCTTAACACTATTAAATGTAACTTTTTTCTGTGTAGTTACTGTTGTAGGGCACAAGCATCACTGTGGACAGTCAGGTACCACGGGCAACACGACAGACTCTACAGCTGAAACTAATTCCCAGTGAAGACAAACGCCAGCCTTTGTAGGCCTATGACAGTCTCCTGGGGTCGCAAATCTCCTGACAACATAGGTACGAACAGCGGGATCCTTTACCTCTGCTTCCCTAAGAAGCCAAATTTGGGAAGGCGCATGGCAGAGTTTATTTCGTTATATATTGACCCTTTAGTGCCACAGGTTATTTAAGAACCTGCTGACAATGACAGTTGCTCTAGTTTAACCTAAACACTCACCAGAAAGCCCCTGACAATTCCCTTTTCCCTGGAGTAGGGGAGCACAGATCCTACACATAACCACTATTTTGAAACAAGACTTGTTCACCACTAGTGGGCTCAGCATTGGAGATGGGAGGAAAAAACAGCAGCGTATTTAATTTCCATGTTACTTTCAGCACAGGTTTTACTTGTGCGTCAGTTGTACATTCATAATTAATACAGTCTTTTCATTTTTCTAAGCTTTCAGAACCTTACTGGAATGTTAAAAGCACGTTAGCAAGGACAGCCGATGCTTATTATGCCAGTTGTCTGAGATGTGACCCTGGCTAGAGGTTACTGCCTAGACTCAGCACAAAGGTTCTCCAAGTCAATGAGAAGAGTCCAGTGACATTTAACAGGTTTTTAATCAGGACTCTACTGTCTCTCCCTGTGTCAGCAGCTCCAAGCTCCAGCATCAAACTTAGCTACAATTCTCACTCCTTGTGCTCAAAGAGCAGCAAAAGGAGCGAGTAAGATGCAGCAGGAGCTGATTTCAAAAGGCCACGTACTTGGGCAAATATACCTCCTTTCATACGTATGCCTCCTCCACCGTATTACCTCTCATTAGAACAGAGGCAATTACACTGTTTTAAAGATGACTCTTAAAAGCACTAAAGGCTTTTACTAGTTCTCAAGTACTTTTCCCTAACCTATCCAGGTCTGAAAAACAGAGTCAACTTTGAATTGAATCCAAAAGACAATCAAGCACCAAATGTCAAAGCAATTTTACCAATCAGAGTAATGTGGGTGATAAGGTTGGGAAGAATAAAAGTAGATTCAACTATCTGTTTACAAATTAAAAGTTTCTTCTCCAATGCTTTCTCATCCACTGCAGTTTTTGGAAGCCAGAGACTAGCTTTGGGTATCAATACAAATCCTGTAGCAAAATTAGGTTGTGGCTGGATATTTTTTCCCAATGCAAACACTTTCAATGCGCTCTCGGATACAGGTTAATTGTAATAGCACTGCATTCACAAATCACTCAGAATAGCCTTCCAAATTGATAACATATTACCGTAACCCTAAACAAAAGGAGCAATGCATTTATACAAATTTATAATTCATAAAATGCATATCTGTAAGGAAGCAGTGTTGCAACCCCCTTAAAGAAATCCAGTAGGAATCGAAGGGATTCATTTTGCTGGTCATTTTTTTTCCTTTTTGCTTTGTTTTTACAGGGGAGAAAACAATAAGAAAAAAAATAGAACTTCTTTAACTAGATAAATACACTTCAAGTTAAATTCTTGTTCTGATGACAGCAGATCTCTGCAGGAGGTGGGACAGGTGGATCTATTGACTGCAGTCGTATCCTCTTCCCCTGTGACTGACTTGTTCAATTAAGTCTGCAGAAGTGTCACTCCTCATTAGGCATCCTGAACTCTGCTGAGAGCCAGCAACACCACACCGGCCTAAAATAGTGACATTTACATGACTCTTAACACTGGATTCTGTGCCTACTTTCAGCTGCAGATTTCCTAACACTAACATGAGGAAGGCTTAGAATTTTCAGTAGTGCTCAGAAGTACCCTTCACTGGCTTGCTCTTTATTTTCACATGTTTTGACATTCATTGCAGTGTCATCAGGAAAAGCTGGTGCAAAGGTGAACAAGATGCTGACTCCTCTTCTGAGTGCAAAGATGTAGGGAGTTAAGATATAATAAAGGAAACTATAACATCAACATTCACAACATTCTCTAATTAACTGAACAGAGATGCTATAGCCGAATGAGGAACTTAAAGACTTTTTTTTTCTTTCCATGTAAACTTCTACTGTGATCTGCCCTCAAGTCATGCTTTCAAAACTATTTGAATTACTTTTCCACAGGAGTTGTCATAAAATACCACAAATACGCACCCAAATAGAGGCATTTAGGTATGGATTTATGCTGGGAGCAGCCTTGAGATGTACTACCTTAAGGGACACTTAGATGGATCAGCCCTGTTTAGGGCTACCTGACAGAGACAGCTATACACATTTATTACCTCATATGACAGCACAAGTCATTCCATAAGTGTATTTATCTATTGCTGCCTGTTGCTGTAAAGAAAATCAGGTCACAACCATGGCTCTGGGCAGCTCTCTCATCTCTGGACAGACTTCTGCACCAGAGAGGCGTTTTGCCTTGTCTTGCTTTCACATTGTGTGGAAGAAGGCAGCCAGTTAAACAATCTGCCAGAAAGAGTCTTCCTAAACCACAGTTGCTGTTCACAAA